AATGTAGTAGGATCCTCTTCGAAATGCCACAGAAATACAAAATCAAAACGGATTTGTATAGATGATGTTGAAGAGGAAAGTCTGATTAGTAGCTACAATAAGTGCAATGTACTCTCCAGCGATGTGAACAAAAATGTAGCTCTTTGTCAAAGCGAAAGATATAATCCTTACCAGGAAATCAAAAAGGAACATGCAGCGAAGGGGGAAATGACACAGCTTGGGATAACCAGGAACGAACTTATGTGCGAAAGCAACTTAGCTGTTCCACTTAACCATTTTAATGATTCTGGTCAAGGGAGGAATTACTACATGGCTAATAGAAGTGGCCCCCAGAAGAGGGTATGTCTATATTTTAACGAATTCTCCCTGTCGAAAGGGACACAATGGTCTAGGAACAACCATTATGGAGAGGTGGAATCGCCCATAGAAGAGCTTTCAAAAAGAAAAATTTGGAAAAAGGGTTTCCATGAGGGGGAACACATCATGGATGACATCTCAAACGAACATGTTTCGAGGGCATACATGTGGCAAGGGTACTCTGCGGCAGGTTACCCGGTAGGGGGAAACCAAGTGGAGAGCTACCCGGTGGAAAGTAACCCTGTTGGGACCTACCCAGTGGACAATTACCCCCTGGAGAACTACCCGGTGGAGAACTACCCCGTGGAGAACTACCCCTCTCGTTGGGTCATCAAAAAGGAGCAATGCCATTCTGTAACTGAGGCACCTGTAGAAGAGGCTTTATCGCGGGAAGAAGCGAATCCATTGGAGATGGAAGATCTGGGAAACCAAGGAAAACAAGATGTTCATAAGAATACCTGTCCTTTATCAAGTATGTACAAAGAGGAGCTAACTCTTCCCTCTAATGTTGCAAACATGGAAGTGCTTGCAAAGGGAAAATTGATTGTTCATCCAATTATTAATAACAACAAATTGTTCAGTTGCAGAATCAAGGAAGAACTAGAAGCGGAAGTGGCTCACCTCGTGATGGACTTTACCCAAGCGGATACCTCCTCAGAATTGCACACGATCACAGACACCGCAGTGAGTGCAACGACGAGCACGACAACGAGTACAAAAACGACTAGGATAACTCTTGTCCCGGATAATGACAATCTTACGGATACGCTAAGCAACCAGTTTGACATAGAAAACAATATCCAGATGCAATATTTCAATGAGGGTGGATTGCGCGATGATCGAAGGTTGCTTTGTTCTTACACTTACACGTTAGATGCTAGCAGAAGTGAAAATATGGCCATTCTTGGAGGCAGCGTAAATCCAAATGTGAGAATGCCAGGTGCTAGTGCACGCATAACCCCGCTTGTCCCAAACGGACAGATGAAAATCCTACGCGCTAGTGCATACACAACGCCAATTAGCCCAAACAGAAGCGAGTGCATGCTAACGGATTGTGCACCTTCACTAGTCTATGATGAAAACGCACGTGTGCTTCCAGGCAATGACGTGATACAAGCTCATAACGAAGCATTCAGCGCTGGAGCACCTAAAAGATATTATATCCCACACCCCAGTTGGGATAATTATCCCCATTTCGGCACGCAACAAAATCTTTGTGAATGCCAATACCCCTATATGAGGAGTATATGCCCAAATGAGTGCATGAATATTTCGGTGCAGAATTACTCAGGCTATCCCTACAATCACCAGATAGGTGTGAACAATTCTCGGATGCTTGACCTGAAATGTGCAGAGAATTACTTTTATCCCAGTGGGGGAAATTCGTTGCAACGTTTTGGAGGCTACGGGATAGGCGGATATGGTGGGATACGCTGCGATGGGACATGCAGTTACAATGGCACCAAGTGCGATGAAGGCCTGGGGTGCAGAAATTGTGAATTCTCCCAGGAGAGGAGTAACTGCCATTGCACCGACGAGTTCCGAAGCCATGGTGGCAATTCCTGCTTCAGCAACATGTACAATAACTTCCCCCCCTCCCAAGCGTTAACTACAGAAGATTACAGTTATTACCAAAATGATCCCCAAATGGCCATATCAAACGCTTCAAATAACGTAAAGGACCAATACAGCCAAAGGATTAACAGCAGAAGAGGTTCCTTTGCCACATGTTCAGTAAAAGGCGAATACTATTTCACTTCCCATACAAGCAATACAGAAGTTATCCCCGAAAATAACTTCTCCTTTATCAACGGGGATAATAATAGAATAAGCGGTCATATTAAGAAGGAACAAATGAATACGGAAGACAGGACTGATGTCAACCCGGATCGTAATGATCAATCCGATCAGTATATTCAAGCAGACGCATGCAATGACACTGTCCAAGTTCCCACTACCAATTGTGCAAGCCATCCAGTGGTTAAACTTAACAAAGGGGACAGTTACTGTCCTGGACCAGCTAACAGAGGGGAGGTAATGCTCAGCGGGAGTAATCACAAAGCAGGCGATGTTGATGAGAGAACAAAGAAAAACAAAGAGCAAGAGCTAGAGACCAATAAGTTCCAACTGAGCGGTCAGGAGCGTGATGTGGAGAGACACCTTCCCGGAGATGAGAAAGGGGAACACATGAATGGTACCAAAATGGAGGTAAACAGGGAGGCCTCGAGTGACGTCAAAAGTGATGACGAAAGTGGCAACAAACGTGACAACCAAAGTGAAAGGCAACGTGATGAACTGCAACGGACAGATGTCAAGAGCCCACACAGCACCCCCACTGGAAAGAGCGAGGCATGTGTGCATGCAGAGGGGAAAAGTGGAGAACCAAATCCATCGAATTCATCAAATTATTGCAAAACAGAATGGACCAGAGAGGGTGAACATAATTACAACAAGGATGGGGTAGAAAGCTTAAGTACGGACACGGGAAATAGGATCGGCAGCAGTGACACACATTATGATGTTTGCTTTCCGGAGGATGACTGCAAAGGCAGTTGCTCTGATGTGTTATATACCAATCGGAACGACACGCTTGCACGTCAAAGAAGCCTAAACAGATCTTTAAAAAATATATCTGCATATGATAGGTGGAATATTGGGAAAGAAAATAGCAATCCGTGTAGTTACGGCCCCAATGGTAAAGGAGAATACGATGCATGCGATCATTGGAGCAGAATTAATTTGCCCTATTTTTCGGATCATCATGTGTACAAAGTACGCTACCCAGTGTATGATGGGTGCTTAGACTTCCCCCATTCCTTGCGAAGGGACATGCAACGTAAATACCACTTAAGTAGGCTGGGTGCAACTAATGAGGTAAACTTTCACGGTGCCGATTATGCCAGCAATGATGTTAATGGAGGTCCCCCTGAGAGTGTTCCGCATGTCAATGATGGAGGTAGTTATCCCAGAGGCAGTTTTTGCAATTTTAACTACTACGTCTACGCCTATAGATTCCGTCATTCGGGTACGCTAAGCAAAGCAGCGGCGTTCAGCCATGTGTGTTCTCCTAGACACGCTGATCACCTTTACCAGTTGAACTACTGCACGTGTTATAACGACACAGATGAGCACCTGCTCCTGGATTATCAAGACTCTCCAAGGGAGGAAAATTATGGGGACAATTGGAACTGTCGTTGCGAGACGTTTGAAGTATGCTGGGCCCATTATTACGCCAACATTGAGTACAGCCTGGACAAGCCTTTTTATTTCCTTGACGAATACTTCTCCACTGCGTCATATGAGGAGGAAAGCGGCTGTGTTCACAAGAACAATACGAATGAAACAAATGTCAGTAGGGTAACAAATGGCATTGCCTTAAGGAAGGAGTTAAATGTGAGTATAAATTCTTCTAAAGGCACAAACACTTTTAGAATAAAGAGCGAACTGACAGATGAAGATGATATTATCTCCACTGATGTTCCCACTGGCTCCAAATCGGACAATATCCTTGACATAAACAACACTCCACTTCTCAATAATACATACGACCTTTTAAGTATCTCAACAAAATGTGATAGCCTTAGTGTCAATCAGGATGATGGTGCAACCGTTCATGGTGGAGCATCGTCCAGTGGAGTGAACCAAAGTGAGAAGAGCAATACGATTGCTGTGGAGGAACATCACCGCGGTGGATCCACTGCTGAAGGGGACACCAATAGCTGTGAAATAGATCAACGAAATGGAAGTAAACAGGAGGAGGAAGACAATACACATGCATGGGGGGAAAAGCATTTTTGTACATGTGTAATGCAGAATATGGAGAGAAGTGAAGAAATAATAAAGCTGCCAAAGGAGCGAAGTAGCCAAGTGTGTATGCCACGCGTGAAGGTGGAAAAGAAGGAAAGCAGTGCGGAAATTGGTTCCCAAAGGGATGCGGAGAGTGATGCCGACTCCATCCCGCGTAACAGAAAACACTGCAGCCACGAAGGAGGTATACACTATGACCAAGGAATGAACGATAGAAGTAGCATCTTCGTCAATAAGGAACTAAATGCAAAGGAAAACGCTAATAACGGAGACGTAAGTGGCTATCAAAAGAAAACTCAGTGCACACATGCTGATGATGATGGAAATATTGTGCAAGACTTAAATGAAATAAATACACATTTGAAAAATATTAATTGCATGTATACTCCCGCGAAATCTATTTACTTGAATGAAGCACACTTTTTCAACAACCGTGTGAATGAAGTCAACACCCCGAACGGTGCATGGCAAGCAAGAAACTCTTTGAGTCATGTAAAATGCGAGAAATACATGCAACAATTGAGTTCCTCCCATTCGCACATGTCTGCAATGGGTAGCAACTTGAACGTGGAGCACAAATCGGAGCACGCCGATGGGAGAAGAGACGACGGCGAAAACGATGGGAGTCACAGTGAAAGCCCCCATAGAAGCGATAGTAACAGTGGGATTAGCAGTGACAGTAGCATTAGCAGTGGCAGTAGCAGTGACAATAGCAGTAACAGTAGCAGTGACAATAGCAGTGACAGCAGCATTAGCAGTGAAAGTATCAGTGAAAGCGGAAGCGATAGACGCGGTGACCACAGGAACGAAGAACTCCCCCACAGAATAGGCATGACGCTAAAATGCGCAAATAATATGTACGGCGCTCGGTACGTTGGTGGTTCCCCATATTATCCGGGCCATACTCATATTGCCAATAACGGTAGTGTCATTTATGTCGGTATACCACCCGAAAGAGGAAATGTGCATTCAATTTTAGGTCAAAGTGGTTTTAACTCCATGAATAGTCCACCGTACAATGGTACCTCTCCTCGTGAGGTTAACCACACGGATGGCAACGTAGAAGGATATTACCTTGACGATGCAACCCAGTTATCAAGCATCTACCAATCAGAGCTCTCCAACAACTGCACATATGGTTATACATATGGAGTAAGCACCCATTCATATTCGGACGGAAACGAATCAGTGATCGCAAGTTACACATTGGAGAGCACATATGGGAATGTCCGGTGTCCATGTGAGATCTTGCATGCACACATGGACAGGTTTGGTCGTCAATATATCGGAAGTGACAGTGATAGGACGAATGAATCGGATAGCGACACAGATGACGACACGGCTGAAGACTTCAACGGGGAATACCCGGATGAGAGGCGGAGGAGGAGTGTAAGTATAGTTAACGTGGGCAGTGAAAGCAGCGCCAACACGAGCAGCAGCACTGGAGCGGGCAACACGATTATCGCCAGCATGGACAGTGAAAGAAGTCCCGCCAATACGAGCAGCAAAACTCACGCGGGAAACACAGCTATCAGCAGAATGGACAGTGAAAGCAGCACTAACACGGGAAACACAAGTATTACGAGAATGGACAATGAAAGCACCCCAAACACCAGGAGCAGCACTATCGACGGAGACACTTCCCCAAATGGAGTCACCAGCATCAACAGCGGAAGCAGCACCGTCACGAGCATTAGAACTATCCACGAAGACACTTCCCCAAATGGAATAATCGGCATGAGCAGCGAAAGGAGCGCCGCCACGAGCAGAAGCACTATCGACGGAAACACTTCCCCAAATGGCGTCACCGGCATGAACAGCAAAAGCAGCACATGCAGCCTTAATGATACACACAGAGGAAACAGACGCATCAAGCAATGCAAAAGTGAGAAGATCCACCACACAAGAAGAACCAAATCGGAAAAAGGACTCAGAAAAGGAGAAATAAAAAAAAAGACATCAAATGATTCTGAATATTCACATGAACAAAAAAAAGAATTACTTCAAAAAAAATATGATGTACAGAAAGAAATGGTCCTAAGTATGGAAGAAGGGGATCTAAAACTAATCGCTGATGAAATTATTAGGAATACTCATTTGTTACCAGAGAGAGGACCCTACGGTAGGAATACGCTGGATGCTTCTCATCCCATTCATAGCGTGTGGAAAGATACATCTCGGGGCCATTCATCATGGAGATGTAGGTGGTGGGAAAATGGCAAACGATTAAGTAAAAACTACAATGTCAAGAGATATGGAGAAGAAGATGCTTTGAAAATGGCTATCATCACAAAGTTGAGAAATAGCTCACCAAGAGATCGGATCTTCTATTTGGAGCACCAGAGGGAATGTCTAAAATTGTGCTATACCAATAATTGGATAACAAAAAGGAGAAGCGGCACGGGGGGGGAGAGGGATCAGGGTGCTGCTAAGACAACACCCGAGAAAGACGACATTTTGAACGGAGAAGAAAAAGGCAAAGGGGTAGGGGACATGCGTGCACATGAAACTAACAAGCAATGTAATCAAGACAACGATTCAGAAGCAGCTCATTTGAGTGCTCCCCTCATTACATACAGCACAAGCCGCTTCTCTGATGATGCAAGTGTACCCCTCGATAAGAATAGAGTCCGAACAAGAAGAAACAAACGCACTCTTCTCACTAACAGAGGAAGTAGCAGAAAACGCCGCATCGTTAAGTGTGACCCCTACGCTCCGAACACCGACACGGTGAAGCACTATCAGCAAGGCGATAGGTTAGACCACATAGAAGCAACAAAAACAATGGACGCTGTAAGCGCACTGAAGGCGCCGAATGTGCCTCATGAGCTAAATGCGGTGAATGCCCAGGGAGACGTAAAGTTGGAAATCATATGACATGTGCAAAGGGGGAACATCTTGCGGGGCATGTATTAGTTCCCTTGATGAAGAACCACACGGGGGGAGGTGCCTATGAAGGTATTCGCGCAAAGGAAAAAAAAAACGCAAAATATGGGCAACACCAAAAGGGCTTAAAAGCAAAGTGCAGTGATCGCCAAACGGTGCTGAAAATTCGGTCACTGCAATTTTCGAGGAACATGGGCATATTTATTCTTAGAATGGATTGCTGCGTTGGTCGACCTGTTACTCGGGTAAGTTCAACCAAAGGAGCATCACCCAAGGAAGATGTAAGGGCAGGACTAGCCAAAAACCCTACGGCCTTGCGGATGAAATGGAAAAAATCCACCATAACCGTTCTCTCCTTGGAAGAAGTGCGAACGCCCATGCGTGTGATCACAATGTAAACGAGCAACTGCGGACCAGTACCGGCACTATTGCCGGCACAGTGCAAATGCTGCGATGAGCACTAACTAGCCTATTCATCCTCCGTTGATCGCGCCGACGTAGTTGGTGTCTTCACGACGGGGGCGTGCAAAAGCGCGTGTAAAAAAAAAACAAACAAAAAAAAATATATATGCTTTGTATACACATGCACACTCTCGGCTGCACTTCCAGCCTTCTTAAACTTTCACGGATGCTCGCTCGCCATCCGCAAGTCACGTATTTACCTCTGCGCATCGAAGTTCCCCCCAAATGCTATCTCCTTTAGAAAAATAGGGAACAAAACTACCCCTTCCCTTAAGTCTTATCACGGCATGGTAATTCATTTGTGAATATGAACAAAATGGGTTGCACCATGTGGTGAGATGTGGGATGTAAGACAAAAAGGGATCGGAGAAAAAATGGGAGAAAAGCAAACTGAATGGAACCCCAATGGAAGGGACACTAAAAGAATCCTCTGCAACGCAACATGTTCCGCGCCATGCAAAGGATCAAAGAGCTAAAGAAATGGCTTGTGTTAAGCGCAGATCTTCTTTTCCTTCCACTCTAAAAAGAGAGTTACATTCGCATGTAACCGGATATGCCCCCAAACGGATAAATATACTCCACTCGTTAATTTCACCCAAATTGTGGTTCTTTTTGGAGTTAACTTCCATACAGTTTGTGCAAACGGCTGGTGGCGTTTTCTCGACATTGCATTGCACGTTTCTTCTTCCTTTCTGTGGATGCTTAAAAATGGTTATGTGTGTACGTGCTTACCCCAAGTACTGATTTTTTTTTCTTTTTGCATTTAATTCACGTCGTAATTAAATGTTTGTATCTCCTAAGCATTCAACTTCAAATGACTTCACCAAAATGGAGAAGTTTATCGAGTGTCCTTGTAATCGCATCCCCTCATGAGTGATTCAATGGGCTATGAGCAACCACGTTTATGTGCGCCTTTAATCTGAAGCCCCACATAGTGATTGTGGCAAGAGAAGTTAATGCAGCAAATGGGTACCCTCAACTGCTACCCGTTTGCCATGTTTCCTTGTTGCACCAAATTGGCCCTCCGACTTTTACAGTCAGTCTCTTCCCTCAGCGTTACGCCCATTTCGCGCACGAGTCCTGTCCTCAACGGTTGCCCCGGGATACTAGGTTGAGCTGTTGCACTAGCTCGTGCGCCCAGCCGTACTCTCAACCTGTATTCCCTCGTCGGTTTCCCCCTTTTGCTTCCCCAGTGGATATAGAAGTTTCTCCCTCGGTTATTTGCACTCTACATTGGTCTTCATTTTTTTACTCATTCTGTGCGCGGGGCATTTGGCTCAACCACTCTGCTCTGAAACTCTGCTCCTGAAATCGGCTCATGTGTACGGTCACGGTCTGGACACGAATTTTGCACTTAGCAGTTCCGCTCAACTGCTCCGCTCAACCCTTACATGCAGCTCTTGAACGTATCTCCTACCCTCAGTGCTCCTCTCAATCTCGTGCCGCCCCCCAATAGACGCAACTGTTCCCATCGAAACTTAGCCCATGTTATAACATTGAATTATTACCCTCGCCATGTATACTCGGAACTCCTATCCTCACCAGGTGTGCAAAAATGGCACCCCCCCGTCTACTGCTCAAAATTTGGCCTCCCCTCATTGCGCTCGCGTTCAACCTTTAATTATTTCTCTGTCTCTACGCGTTTTCAACTTTTACTTATTCCTCTCACGCCGCTTAATATTCTCCTTTAGTTATTCCTCTCACTTCGACCACTCCGCTCACTTCAATCATCAGTAATACGCCTCACTTCTCACGCTCGCTCATTACTCCCAATTAGCACTCCAAATTTATTACACTCAGCTACTATGTGCAGTAGTTGTCCGAGACACTTCTGTTTATCAAAATACCCCATTTTTTTGCCTTAGCTAATACACCATATTTTTTACCTGTCATTTTTATCTTCTCTAATAACGCACAATTATACATCGCTCTTGACCCATTAGGTATGCTTTCTGTTGTTATCCTGTCCTGCTACACTGAACTGGCATGGGCGATGATCAGCCTCGAATCTCAGCTTTGGCATTTACCCGCAATTGCTCTCTTCCAGGCTTTACTCGTTTGCATTTTGCACACTGTCCGCGTTCATGTCTGTGATATTTTTACCTGAACATATGTGTAATATGCTCTTTTTATTTTTTATGTTTTTTTCTAAGCGGCCCCATAAACGGCTTCATTACAATTTGGAGAGTTCGTTTTTGCGGCCGATTATTTTTTTCTTTTTCCTATCTTTCTTTACGTTTTGTTTTGACTTCCTCGATTTTTACACCTCCTGCACATGTACTCACCCGCATATGCGTATGACCGTGCAACCGTACACCTCCACATTTTTGTATGTTCATTTTTTTTGCGTACCAATTTTCTGTGCACCGCGCAGCTGAGCATATGCTGCTTGTTTTGTTCAGTCGGCCATTTTCTCTTCCCTCCCGTTTGTAACGCGGTGTGTATGCACATGTTTGGAGCTTTCCGTTTTCGGACCTGCGCAGGGGTGTTAAGCGGATATGTTGCGCGAAGGTTTTAAATGGACACGCTAACCAAATATGACGAAAAAACACGCCACACGGACATGCTGAACAATATGATGGCCATTTCTTTTTTCATCCTCATTTTGTTTCAAAGTCGAGTTGCATTTTTTAAAAAGAATATATATACGTGTCACCTTCTTTTCAAGCGAGCAGAATGCCAACATTTGCCATCACCATAGTAAACATGCGTACATACACGTATACATATGTGCGAGATTCATCTTAGCTAATTTTGGGCTCGCGAAACAGCTTGTTACACGCTCAACGTGGCAAAGACTCGGACAATTGTCGTGAAACACTGGGCCAAGGTGTTTCATCGCGTCCTTAGTTGTATGCCCCCCCATTAAAGTGCAACAACATTTTGTGAAAACATCACTTCGCTTTTGTCAGTTTAGGGAAAATATCTAAAATGGGTAAAGTAGAAAAATCCCGGGAGAATTTTCTCGAAAAAGAAATTTAACCCATAAATGTAAAAAAAAAAAAAAATGAACCATTTGAAATGTGACAAGTCATTCATCTTAAGATATTTCACTGAAAAATTCTTTTTGTAGAAACGATTGTTGAAATTATAATTTTTGCTGTGACATAGAAAAAACGATAACTTTTGAAAATCTTTTTTGTCTTGTGGAAAATGACACGCCAGAAGGACTATTCTCTGCCAGCTGTAATCATCATTATTTGAACTTGTTTGCGTAAAAAGTAAAAAAAAAAAAATTTTAAAACATATTCTGTACCCGAATTTATTTTTCAAAATAGACAATACAAAGGGGGGAAATGTGCCTCATGTAGTTGAAAAGGCGTCACATAACGGATGCGCAAATACACATACGCACATAAGTACGTTTATTTGCGGATACTTTTCTACTTATGGACAGATTGGCTTAAATTGTGTCCTCCCAAATGGCGGAACGGAATGGGTGTTTGTTTGTTTGTTTGTTTTTTTTGGTGTAAATCCCCTTAACTATTTAATGTAACGCGTTTTTTTTAAATATCAACTGTACCCACGCATTATGTTACCTATCAATATCTCTTTAACTTGTACGTATGTATATCCACTGTTCAGGATAAAAAAAAAAAAAATGAAACACCTACCAAATTTCCATATATTATTTGTCAGGAAAAGTGGCTCATGTGGCAAAGCATGCCAGTCACATAACTGTAATTTTGCCTACACTACACTGCATTTTATGAATATTGAAACATCACGTGGTGTGCGCTAGTTACGCGAGATGGCTACTTCGACAATTAAAAGGAGACACAAAGGGAACGTCCTACAGATTATTTCACTGCCAAACTTTGCTGAAGAGTCCAAATGTGCGATGCATGCAAAATGTCTAAGAGCTCATTTGTACATACATACGTGCGTGCATACTGCCTACGCAATGCGTCTGGGATGTGGAATGCCATTTGTTCACGCTCAAAAAAGGCATATCTCAAGAGGAATATTCTTCCCCTCCGTAATTACTTGTAACGATGCTGACGCAATGAATCATTTTTTAAAGGGCTCCCCCCTGCGTAGTGTGGAGGTGGGTGAAACAATCGTTACAAAAGTTCACTGCAACGGGTTAAGCTAACGTTAACAATGTAGAAAAACTCACTACACAGTAAAGTCCTTTTTTCTGCTAGAAAATTACCTTTTTTTTACATCTTAATAATACGTTAAAAATTGGCGCCAAAAAAAAAACTACATAGCGTTATTAAAATGTCGTTTTGTAGGGAAAACTTAAATGTTGCTATGCGCAAGGAAGCCACATAAGAAGTAACCAACCATTTTTTTATTTTTTTATCTCGTTATTTTTTTTTACCTTTGTATTTTTTTATCTTTGTATTTTCTTTTTTTCGTTCTTCAAAAAGGAGGAGTGGCTAAAACATGGAAATGTAAGTAGGCCTATTTCAACGTTCCGCGAAAAACAATTAGTCTCCTTCATTCTATAAAGTAGCAAATTACGTGTTTTAAACAAATTGTAAAGCTACAATGTGGGACGTTTTATTTTACATTTACTACTC